CAGGGGCGCAGACCCCCCCGAGCCGCCGGTAAAGCCACCAGAAGAATTTATTGATCACGTCACCCCCTGCCCCCCCGGCGGGCACCGGGGGGGAAGAACGGTAAAAAAAAAACAAAACAAAAAAGAGAACAAGGCAAATAAATTAAGTTCCCAACCAGTGAGGCCGCAGGTGCTGAGGACCCGGCAGCCACGCTGCAAACATGGAGTAAAAAGGGGGAAATTAAAACGAGAAAAGGCAAAACAAAAACAAAGTATAAAAAAAAAAAAAAAAGAAAAATACAGAACCAGAGTCAAGGAGCAGCTGGGAAAGGAATCAAACCCCAGCACAGGGGGGGCAGATGGGGGATGTGGGGACCCAGCCTCCCCAGAGGGGCTGGGACATGCACCGAAGGTGGGTGGGGGGGTGGGGGGTGCCAGGAGGGGTCCCCAGTGCCACATCCCCCCACCCTAGGAAGGCCCCAGCCCTGGGTGGGCACTGGGGGCTTGTCCAAGGCTGGTTTGGCTCCAGGGTTGAACAGGGCTTGGGGAGGGTCCAGGGGCAACAGCAACAGCCCCCACTTCAGGGACTCCCCCAGCCCAGGCCCCTCCCCAGCCCGCAGGAAGGGGGGGCAGCCCCTTCTCCTGCCCTCCTGGGCATCCGGGGGAAAAGACCTGGAGATGCTGGAGAGGAGGCAGAAAATCCAGTGAGGAGAATGTCCAGGGAGGGCTCAGACGCTGGTGGGGCCACGGGGTCCATTCCTGTCTGGAGCTGAGCTGGGCTGTGGGTGGGGGCTGGGAGAGGCACCACAGCCCCCAGGCAGGGGGGTCAGAGGAGCCCAGGATGTGTGGAGGGGGGGGGGCGCTGCTCCTGCAAAGCTGTGGGCATGGGGTGGATGTGGGGGGCTGCAAGGGGGGTCACCACAGGCCGGGGGGGGCTCAGTCACTAGGGGTGTTTGATCATTGTAGCCAGGGAGCAAGAGGTGGGGGAGCAGTGCCCCAAAATCCCCCGTGGGCCACGGGAACAGCAGCAGTTCTGACCAGCTTCCCCCCCATCTCCCTTTCTGCACCTTCTTCCCTCTCCTCCTTCTCCTCTGCTCCACGTTTCCTCCTGGCAAGTCCTTAGATTTCCTCCACTCCGTGTGCAAATATCATCACCAGCCCGGGCTCCAGCACCATGTCCTCCCCCATGTGCTGGTTCTCACAGGCCATCACCACCACCGCCTGCTTCCCGGGGATGCGCTTGGCCACGTAGTTCTCGTAGTACCGGCGGTTCATCTGCCGCGTCTCCAGCGTGGCCAGGCCCTGCGGCCAGTTCCGCTCGTGGGCGTTCTCGATCAGCTCGTTGGTGATGGAGCTGGGGCAGCCACTCTCCACCAGCGAGCGCTTGATGACAGCCTGGAGCACCGCGTCGGGCGTGGAGATCATCCCCCCCCAGCGCGTCACCCGCGCCGGCTGCAGGGAGTTCACCCACCTGGGGAGGGACACATGGAATGGTTGGGTTGGAAGGGACCTTCAAGATCATCTAGATCCAACCCCCCATGGGCAGGGACACCTCCCACCAGCCCAGGCTGCTCCAAGCCCCATCCAACCTGCCCTTCAACACCCCCAGGGATGGGGCAGCCACAGCTTCCCTGGCCCAGGCTCTCCCCACCCTCACAGCAAAGAATTTCCTCATCTCTAACCTCCATTTCCCCACTTCCAGTTTCAAGCCCTTCCCCCTCATCCCATCCCTCCTGCCCTTGGCCCAAGTCCCTCCCCAGCTTTCCTGGAGCCCCTTCAGGCACTGGAAGCTGCTCTAAGGTCTCCCTGGAGCCTCCTCCTCTCCAGGCTGGACACCCCAACTCTCCCAGCCTGGCTCCAGAGCAGAGCTGCTCCAGCCCTCGTGGCTCCTTGGGACTGGGGCCAAGCAAGGGATGCCTCCATTTCCCCACCCTTTCTGCCCTATTTTCACCCCAAACTGGACCCAGCTGCAACCACCCTGCTCTGCTGTCCCCTCCCTAGAGGGAGGGAAAGAAAGGACAGGAGGAGAAGTTGCTCCCTCCAGCCTTTCTCACACAGAGGAAGGAATCTGGCAGCTTCCTGTTTGTGGGCAGGATGCAGGTGGAAGAACAGAAACACTTGGAGCCCTTTGTGCCTCACATGCCACCCCCAGCACAAACAGCCCACAACTGCCCTTTGCTTTGGTGAAGCAAAGGAGGAAATTCTTCACTCTGAGGGTGGGGAGACGCTGGATCAAACTGCCAAGAGAACCTGGAAGTGTTCAAGGCCAGGCTGGCTGGGTCTTGGAGCAACCTGGGCTGGTGGGAGGTGTCCCTGCCCATGCAGGGGGGTTGGATTTAAGATGGTCTTCAAGGTCTCTCCTAACCCAAACCCATCTGTGATTCTATGAATTCCTTCTTTGCCCCAGAAGGTGCTTCAGCCCCTCTCCCAGCAGCCCTCCCAGCTCCTCCCCCCTCAGCCCCAGCTCTTACTCCAGGATCTCATTGTACTCGATGGTCTCCTCCAGGTTCTGCAGGTTGGGGTTGACGCTGCGGATGGCGCGCATGTAGGCCTTGAGCAGCTGGATGTCCCTCTTCTGCAGGAGGGGGACACAACGGGCGGGGGTCACAAAGAGGGGCTGGCACCACGGGACACCTCACGACACCATCACCACACAGGGAGAAACATCTGCCAGCAGCTGGATGATGGGGTGAGGAACCACAGCAGAGCCCCAGCTGCTTTTCTGGTGTCTGGTGTCCCAGCAGGTGACACAGACCCTTCCCCCAAGAGACCCCAGAGCCAGCCAGGGCCCCTTTGCAGCCCCCAGCCCACCTGCTCAGCCAGCTGGTGCTTGTGCTCTGCCGAGGTCTTCTCCAACTCCGCGATCCTTGTCTGCTGCTGCTGCACCACAGACCTCAGGTGCTTGATGCAGTTGTGGTTGGGCAGCTCATCTTTGGGCATTTCCAAGCTGAGCGTTACAGAAAAAGGTGGAGACCCCACGTGAGGGAGAGTCACACTCAGTGTAAACACATTAAGTCTCCAGAACAAATCCAGTCTAGGAGGCCCTTGCCAAGAGCCCCAGGGAGCTGGATGCTGTCACCTGGAGGGGTGTGGGTGGGGAGGCCTGTTCCCTGTGACCCAGGGCCCAGCACAAACCACCACCAGCTCAGCAGGTGATGGGGGTTTTCCTCCTCCAAAGCCACCAGGGCTCAGAACCAGGTCCCATGGGTCTGATCCAGCCTCTGATTTCATCCTAGGAGATGTGATTGTCTCCCAGCCAACAGTCACTCCCTGCCTGGCTGGGTGCAATGACACGTGCAGGGGAGGATGTCAGAACTGGGAGCACTGGGGCGAGGCCAGAGCAGCCACCTGCAGCTCCCAGTGACACGGAGGAGGGAGCAGAGCTCAGGCTGGAACGTGTCCCAGGCTGGAATAGCTTGGGGGGGATCCTGAAAGCCTCAGTGCCCCATTTCCAGCAGGCAACAGACACCCAAGCCCCCGTGAAGAGCTGAGGAGCCAGGGGCTTTGAAACAGGTTTTAAAAGAAATGGGCTAAAATGGGACTAAGAATCCTGCCTGACCCTTCCTGCAGCACCTTCAGCGCCCGGCTCCCTGGGAGCTCTGTGCCCAGGGGGGAAAAGGGGTGCCCAGCACTGAACTCCCACCCCGTGGCCGTGCCTGCACAGCCCCCCCGGGGCCCCCCTCACCCGCATCCCTGCTCGCAGGTGACGGGGCGCTTGGGGTTGTGCTCGCAGTCGTTGAGGTGGGACATGAGGTTGTCGAGGCGCACGACGGCGGTGCAGCCGAACACGGCGTTGTCGCAGCTGATCTGCAGCTTGGACAGCATGTTCCGCATGATCCGCGGCACCGGGCGCAGGTGGGCGACCGTCACCACGCTGCGGTCCACGGGACACGTCTGCTGCTGGGAGAACCACTGGGTGATGCAGGCATTGCAGAAGGCGTGTTCGCAGTGAGGAGCCTGGGGGGGAGGAACAGCACAGCCCTGGGGTTACCCGGACACCATGGGGACACGTTTGATGGCTCTTGTGAGGGGGAACAACGTCCAGCAGAGCCTCTTGGTGTCCAGGGGGTGTCCAGCAGCCACGTGCTGCCCAGGGGAGGAAAGACAAGGGAAGAGGCACCTCCATGGCACAGCCAGGCACCAAAAGCTGGGGCTGGGAAGGCCAGAGCCACACACAGCACCCTGCAGCGCAGCCTTCCTCCCTTCCCTGCCTCCTGGCTGGCCCCAGGACATCCCCCAGGCCTAGAAATTGTTCGTTTCCACCAGAAATCACATGGATTCAGACTTGCACCCTTGGTGCTGCTTCCCTATCCACCTCAAAGCACGAGGAGGGAGTCAAGGATCCACCGAGCTCACCTAAAGCAGATGCTGTGCCCACCATCCCATCATCCCACCATCCCATCCAGACATCTCCAAGTCTGGTGCTGCAATCAGAACCCTTCAGCAGCCACAGCCAGTGGAACCCACCTGAACTGGCTCCTCCAGGACCCCGCTGCAGATGGGGCAGATAAGATCTTCATCCACATCCCCCTGGAAACGAGCTACATCATACCCCATCGCTCACCACCAGCACCCGGACCCTGCGGGGAAGAGAGGGCGGTGAGGAGAGTGGGACAGAGCAGGTCCCAGCCCTGCTGCCTCCCCTTCCCACCAACATCCAAGCTGGTGACAAATTCCCACCAGGGCTGGTCCCGCCCCTGGTCCGGAGCAGGGAGTCCCCACCCCGAGCACACGAGGCTCTGAAACCATCGAGGAGCAATTCCAGCTGAGCAAACACTGGGAGTTCGTTGCCAGGACCCTCCCAGAGCTGCTCACGGACCCTCGGGGAGGGAGGGGACGGACAGACGGACAGACAGGCTGCAGGAGGCACAATCACCCCTGGGGACCCCCCGCAGGAAAAGGGCAGCAGGGAGGGACCTGAGCCAAGGGGCTGGGAAGGTCAGAGGATCAATCAGCTCTTTGCCTCCACGGAGCAGGAACAGACAAAGGCTTCTCCTCGGGGGGTGGGGAAAGTCCCCAGGTCAGTTTGCAATTCAGATCACGGGATTAACGGCTGCGGAGAACGGACCCGGGCAACCAGGACCGGCTGCTCCCCAACCTGCCCACGCCCTCGGACAGAGGCTGCTCTCGGCCAGCGGGAAAGGACCCCAACTCCTTCCCACCCCTCCTGAGCCGCTCGCACCACGAGCCTCAGCACCTCCAGCACGTTCACACCGGGTTCAAACCAGCTGGAAGTGCAGACGTGGGTGTGGAGGACCCGGAACAACCGCTCCCGGCTGCCTGACCCCCCACCGAGGGGCTGCCCGTGGGACCACCCCGACTCCAGCTGCCCAGAGCCCGGGCTCTGGTGCCTGAACGTACCCCTGGATACAGGGGCAGCTCCACCAGGATCCATCCCTCTCCTCTTGCAGAGATCCCAGCAGCTCTCCTGGCTCTCCTTTCACTTCCCAGTTTCCCAATTCCAGCACCATCCTTCCCACAAGCCGCTGGACACCACACGAGTCTCCAGGAGCCAAGGGGAGCACCCAGAGCCAGCCCTGCCATCCGCCAGGAAGAAGCCACATCCAAATCCTCTCCGGGAAGATTCCAGCACCTGCACGGCCCCAAAAACCTTCGGATTCTTCCCATTCCTGGACCCAGCCCGGTCCGGGGGCTCCGCACCCCCCGCCAGGCAGGAGCACTTTGGTGAGATGGGGCTGGAAACCCGATCCCTCCCGCCAGCTCCAGGGGGGAGGGAATGACCTGGATACTCAGTCCTCCCCTCTGGGATCAGCAACCTGGGGACGGCCCCGCAGAGCCAAGAGGAGCTCAGCGCTGCTCAGCACGACCGAGGGGCTCAGGGACCCACCCGGAGCCCCCAGAGCTTGGAAAACACCATCGGGAAGGGTCTGCCCAGCCCTGCCCCCTCCCCAGCTTCACCCCAGCACCACCAGCCTGAATTAGAGACTTAAGGGTTAAATTTGCCAAACCTCTATGATGCTGTAGAAGAGAATCTGTTAATGTTTGGTCTCCCTGAGAGACCAAGCAGCAGGATTCACTGGGTACATCAGCCAACCTGCCAGAATGAGGAACAACATGACCCAGCACAGCAAGGAGGACCACGAGCCTTCCTCCCAGAGACCCCTGCCCACGACCCCTGAGAGGCAGTGGGCGTAGCTTGATGTTAATGACTTCGGGGAAACGATTTAAATATTATCATGAATTCAGGGAATTAATCTGTATAATCCTGCCTTTCTTTTGTCAGGTAATGCATATGTGTATCTTGAAGTGAATAAACAGGTGCTGCTCTTGTCCCTCAGTGTGTCGGGAGGAGCGATCCCCGCGCTGCAGTAAAGAACCTGCTTTAGAGCTTCTCGGGGCTACAGAGTCTTTTTCCTCGTGTCAAGCCCCCCCAGGGCTGGGCAGGGAGCACCCACAGGGATCACAGGCCAGTCAGAGCACTGGGCTTCAGCCCAAATTACAGAGAAAAACCAGACTCAGTCACTTTAACCCCTCCCTTCCCTCCACTTGTCACCACGCTCCTGCCTCCGCAGTGACCTCTGGTGACCTGCGGTGCCCACACAACGACAGGTCATTAACAAGTGAAAAGCCCCGACATTCCCACCCAGAACCTCCCCAGCTCCTCCAGCCCAGACCGAGGTTCCTAACGAGCCCCCGGGGCAGCCGATAACCCTGCACC